CCCACCGCGTCTCCGCGGAGGCGACGCCTCGCCCTCTACTCCCGCACAGCGCTAGGGCGGGAGGGAGAGTCCCCAGGGGCTCCCAGAAGAGTGAAGGCCTTTAGGCGCCGCCACCCCTCGCTCCTCACCGATGACGATGCGCAGGTGCTTGAGACGGGTCAGCGCGTCCTTCTTGGTGTCCAGCACCTTCTGGGTAGACTTCTTCACGTCCCCGTGCGGCTTCTTGGAGAACATCCTGCCGCTGCCGCCGCCACAGCCGACTCGGGGACTCCGGCCCGGCCCCGGCGGCGGAAAGTGGAGAGAGTGGGCGGGGAGGATACTAGCCTAAGCAGCTCATTCACTCCCCAGGCTTGCGGGCCCCGGCGCAGCCGACTCCTCTCACATCCAGGCCAGGGCCGCCACCTCCTCCCGCCTCGCGCCGCGGCTGCAAAGCACCTTCGGTTCCGGCTCCAATATGGCGGATACCCTCTCCCAGTCCTGCACGGAGCGAGGGAGACCCGGGCAGGTCGGCCGCCGTCGCCTCCACTGCCTCCTGAGGCCGCCTCTCGCCGCCACAGGCCGGGACCCGGGACCGGGAGCCGCGGAGGTGGGGCTCTCGGCAGCGGCAGCACAACTCCTCTCTCCCTGAGGCCCCCTTAAGGTTAAAGCTTCTTTAGCAGCTTAGACCCTGCACAGGCCGAAACGGAGATGAGCGCGGTGATGTGGTTTCACGACTCTGCCGTCGGTGGCGAATGGTCCCCGTGGCAACCGCCTTCTGACGTCAAGGCTTCTTGACGTCATGCCAGAGTGAGATCATCCGTGGCCTTTATCACCTTTGCCTTCCTGTGTAAGGCGCCAAAGGTAGAGCCCGAGAAAGTCAGGGAAAGGAATTACTGCGTGCGCCGTTGTACGCAAAGCTCCCTGAGTGGTGTCGTGTAGTGTTTGTTTAAAAATAAGGTCCTTCATCCTCATCTCCACTGTTAACCATGTCATAGTAACTTAGAAAGTAGCTCCAAAACATCAAAACAGTCGTGCAATATATTTTAGATGCCAATTCTGAAGGCCTTGGATGTAACACCCCTTCATTTCCTAAGTTGAATTTTGTTTAAAGTTATTGTTTTGTTTTACGAAGTCATTATTAAAGATTGTAGTTTAAGAGATTTGTAGGGTTATAGTACATCCTCTTGATTAAAATTATCTGGCGCGCACACACAAAAATAATAAAATCGTCTTGCACAAATAAATGAATCCCCAAAGCATGCAGTCACAGAGTGCATAATTACAAGAGAAAAGAAATCTGGGGAACTTTAAGGGTGAATTTTCTTAATATGTAAAAAGCTCACAAATCCAGGAGGAAATTGCTAAGGCTAAGGTAGAAAAACTCATAGAAAACATGGGGGAAAATTCACAGAAGTGTATACTCATAACTAAAACGTGAAAATGTTCACACACTAGTAATTTTTTAAAATCAAATTAGGGGCACTTAGGTGGCTCAGTGGGTTAAATACTCGACCTCAGCTCAGGTCATTATCTCCCTGTTCCAGAGTTCAAGCTCCCCATCAGGCTCTATGCTGACAGCTCAGAGCCTGGAGCCTGCTTCAGATTCTGTGTGTTCTCTCTCTCTCCGCCCCTCCCCCACTGTGATCTCTCTCTCTCTCTCTCTCTCTCTCTCTCTCTCTCTCTCAAAAATAAATAAACATGAAAAAAAATAAAAGATTAAATAAAAATAAATTAAAGATTAAATAAAAAATAAAAGATTAAAATAGACGGAGATGCTCCTATTACTTTCTGGGAAGAAGCATTAATTACTACAAGCTTAATGGAATTTAGTATTTGGCATTTTGTATCAAGACACTTAAAAACGTTCATACACTTTGATTTTTTAGTTCCATTTTTAGAATTCTATTCTAAAAAATCATAAATGGGAAAGTATGAGGGGCACCTGGGTGGCTCAGTTGGTTAAGCGCCTGACTTCAGCTCAGGTCATGATCTCACACTTCGTGGGTTGGAGCCCCGCGTGGGGCTCAGTGCTGACAGCTCAGAGCCTGGAGCCTGCTTTGGATTCTGTGTCTCCCTCTCTCTCTCTGCACCTTCCCCATTCATGCTCTGTCTCTCTCTGTCTCTCAAAAATAAATATTGAGGAAAAAAATTTTTTAAAAAGGAAAGCATGAAAAAATATTAACACAATTTATAACACTGAAAGATTGGAAACAAAATGAATGTCTGTCAGAAAGGAAGGAAATGAATGTCCAATAGGTAAAATGTAATATGCCTGTGAAAATTACTAATATGAAGATTTTTTTAATAACATGGAAAATACTCAAGACAATATTAAGTGAAAAATCAGATACAAAACTGAAAATATGTTATCAAAACTCTGAAAAAAAAAGTTTATACAATTTTTGAAAGATGAAAAAATACTCCAAAATTGTGATTATAGCTGCAAAGTGTATTACAGGTGGTTTTAATTTTCTTGTTTATATTTTGCTTATATTTCCTTTACAAAAAGCATGTATTGCTTTTATAATCTAAAAAACAGAAGTTGTTTTAAAGAAAATTAAGAAAATCTAACATACCAATTGTAAACTAACCAAACAAATTAAGATGTATGTGTAAGAGTAGAAACTCCTTGAAAACAAGGGCTTTTTACAAAAGTTATCTTTATGTCCTATTATGGCACAGAATGAATATTTGTTAGTTTTTAAATGTTTATGTTTATATTACTAAAAGTTTTTTTTGATAGTAGAAGATTTATCTGATCCCATGATTCTGAGTATCATTTATTTGGTGATTTTAGACACCTCTGTCCCTACCTGTGTCTTTTTTAAGATACTAATCTCAAATTCAAATATACTCAAATTCAAACTACTCAAACTCAATATATACAAAACTGAAACTTGTCAGCTTTGTCCTCCTTCCTCCCAAACCTGATCTTCCTCCTTCATCTGGTATCTTTATTGATAATACAATGATCAGCCCAGTTTTTTCAATCCAGAAACTCATATCCTCTGAAGGCTCCCTTTCTCTTCTTTTGTCCGGTTACCAAAACCTGATGATTCTACTTCCTAAATACTTTTCATTTTGTCCTGTTCCCTCCATTATCACAACCTTTGTTTAGGTTCAGGTTCTCACCATCTTAAGCTACGCATGCTAGAAATGGCAGTGGTTTCCTCCCCACTCCCACATCTTAGTAGGATTTGAGCATCCACTCAGTTTTATGTAAATTTTAAGAGTGAAAAGAAAAAACACTCGATATTCTTACCTTCTTGCAATTAGTTCTTGAATATCTGTCTTAAAATGAGGAAATGCATAGCGCTTCAGATCAAAGAATAAAACTTACATTGGGGGACTAATTTCAGAGACGCTAGAAACATCTCCAGATTTTATACCTTGCAGACCTAGTTTCTTACTCTTTCTAAACTTATTGAAGTGGACATTAAAAAAAAAAAGTAATTAGCTACATTGATGGTAGTGGATGTATGTTGGTTTGCCTGCCTTCTTCTGGTAATCACACCTAGGTTTTCCTTTGGAAAGCCACCCCTCTCTTGATCTCACTTGATCTCATGCCCCATGGCCCCATTTACACTTTAGTACTCAAGCATCCTGTGCAAAGCAAGTGTGTTAGGGATTGGCACAAGACCAAGGCAGTCCAATAAAACTCCTGCAACTATTGAGAAAGAGAAACTCTTTTTTCAGGCTGAAGGCCTGGAACTGCTAGGAACAAACATGTGAAAAGAATCTGCCGGGGAGGGGTGCCTGGATGGCTCAGTCAGTTAAGCACCCCACTTCAGCTCAGGGAATGATCTCTTGGTTTATGAGTTCGAGCCATGCATCAAGCTTCTGCTTGGGATTCATTCTCTCTCTGTCTCTCTCTCTATCACTCTCCCCCCACCTTCTCCACTCATGCTTTCTCTCTCTCCAAATCAATAAAAACTTAAAAAAAAAAAAAAAAGAATCTGCTGGGAATAGTGCATGCCAACACTCCAAGAACAGAGGAGATAAGAGACTGAGTTTTGACAACATTGTTTGGGCATTTGGATTGAACTTGTTTGAATTGCCATGATCTTTTCTATTTCACAGATCAATACTTTGTGTTGCTTCAGTTACTTGCACAACAGGAAAAGTCCTGATTTATATATTTTAAAGATATTTGGTAGGCTGAATAGGGATTAGAAATTTTTAAAGGAAAAAAACAAATAACTGCTTGAAAACAACATGAAGCCCTCTTTTGAAGCCCTCCCACAGCACTTACTTTTTTTCTCTCTCATGATGCTCACTGCACTCTCTGCTGTAATCAGTCTACATATCCTCTCCCCTATATCAGACTGTAATCTCTCCTTAAGACAAGTTTTGAGAAGACCTTGGTTTGTGATCCATAATCCAAGGCTCCAAGTTGTTTTCTCTCCTTTCCGACTTCCCTCTCTTAACTTTCTCTTTCTTTTTGTGTCTCTCTCTGTATCTCTCTGCCCTCTTGAATGGTACCTGGCATGTGTTAGGTCCTCAATACATATTTATAGCAACAATAAATCAACACTGGGGACTCAATAAGCATTTAGAATATAGAGTTGCTGTTTCTGCTGTCAATTCAGGAACAGTAACCTGTTTTGGGGTTGAGACCTGGTCACCAGAAAAGCAGAGAAGCTGGTAGGAAGACAAAGAAAGGAGAAACAATGCTTTTTTTTCCTTAAGTTTATTTTTATTTTGAGAAAGAGAGAGCACACATGCGAGTTGGGGAGGGGTGGAGAGAGAGAGAAAGAGAGAGAGAGAGAGAGAGAATGAGAGAGAGAGAGAATCCCAAGCAGGCTCTGCACTATCAGTGCAAAGCCTGATGCAAGGCTTGAGCCCATGAACTGTGAGTTCACGACCTGAGCTGAAATCAATAAAGAGTCTGATGCTTAACCAACAGAGCCACCCAGGTGCCCCCAAGGAGAAACAGTGCTTAACAGGGGCAGGCCAGAATGTAAGCAAAGCTAATCTTTTACTTTCCAGGTTTTGATTCAAAGGGAAATAGGTTCTATGCTTTTTTTTTTGGGGGGGGGGGGAATTGAAGAAATTTTTTAAAATCTTTTATGTTGATCTATTTCAACTGTGAAGGTAAAATTGCTATTAAGGTCTTAAAATATCAGAAGGCTGTATATGGTTGAGACAAGAATAAAGACGCAAAGAATAAAGAAAGGAAAAATAAAAATAAAAATAGTCTTTGTTAAACATTTCTATGATTTATCCATGAAAATGAGCATAAATTGTGGTCACCA